TACTTGACATATTCAAATACTTAAAAACAATAAAAACCCTTTCATTAGACACAATACATACATAAAATACTTTTTGGTTTCCCATTATTGTGCAATATTGACATTTCTGGAAGCAGGTTGCCCATAAACTACATGTCCCACAATGCATCTTGTTTTGTGTATGCGCACTGAAGAGACTTGCAATTATTTGCCTTGGACTTCTGCTTTCAGACGTAGTTAATTACTAAGTTATTATCCTATCCGATAATAATCCAATTCAGAGGCAATAATGTAATATAATACATTATTTTTTATATATATATATTATATATTTATATAGTTACAACCGGCCCTTTGAGTGCAACCTTTATGCGAATATGGCCCACGATGAAATTGAGTTTGACACCCCTGCCTTAAACAGACATAAGTTATATCGGCACCAAAACTAATTGCCTTCAATCCTGTTTGATTTGTAAATCCCTGTTTGTTTGCTTGCGTTGTAGTTTTCTACAACACTACTTTTGTTGGGGCATATACAAGCCCCAGCATGTTGTTGTGCGCTTGCATGATGCAAGCCAAACAGGGATCCAAGATGTCTGTTCAAGGGTTAGTGAAAGTGTGATACAATCATTTGAACCATGATTCCTGACAAGTACAATTTAGGCAGATGATTGCAGCAAAACAAACTGAAAGACATAATAATAGGACTCAGGACAAACATTAGACCTCACATTTAACACCAAGTGGATGTTTTCTGAAATCCAATCCACTCAGTCTCAACTCTGCTGAGATTTAGAATGTGCTTCTGTTGGCTGAACACACACATACATAACATACATAATATATTTGATATGACTTTCTGAAAAGTTTTAGACTACAACTCCTTTTTGGATTATTATATTTTCTATATCAAGAACCATTTTTATCAGCACTGTGTTTGCATGACTCAGTGGAACAGAAGTACTGTGCCACCTTTCCACCTGATGCTAGTTGCTATGGTACCATCAGTCTGGCACACATTTTCAAAATACAAACAAACATAAGAGGGAATGAAGGCAGCGGGGGAGACAATCCCATACTTCTCCGTTTAAAAACTCGCTTTACAGTCAGTTTGCTCTACAGCTTAAGATGCAAGAACAATAGGGTTTGTCTAATTGTGTGGTATAAAATGTATTATTCTCTAGTTAGACAAACATTATCAGAGCCAAGAGTCTACCTAGACCAATTAAATGAAAATGTCCTACAATACATTCGCACAATCAAGTCCATGCAGGCTGCATGTTTATTATATGCTGATAATACAGACTCTTAAGAAAGTGTACCTCTATCTTAATGCTTGGAGATAGTGAAGGTCTCTGAGACACTGTGTCTGCTCCCCGTCTACCATAAGCAACAACACACATTTATACTGTAAATCTATAGTTTGCATACAAGACTCATAACTCCATAAACCTTCATAAGGTAAATATTTGAAGAAATGCTTTAAAATGTGGATTATGAATTAGGTCAGCAGTTGTACAACAACCACAAATTGAGATGTGCTACCTTGCTTTCTAAACTGAATAAAAACAAATACAACTTAAAAAGGGACACACTAAGTGCCAACAGTAAGTTGAATTGGTTTTGGTCAACACTTTTACACTAGTAGTCTAACATCTACATAATGACCAAACACCTTCTAAGGAAGCATTTATTAAGTAGATAAGTCCTTTTGTTTTATAGGCTGAATGACTTATAAGAAACTCATGAGCAAATCTCTGATAACAAAAGTTGAAAGTGGTCCTTTTGCATTTTTTTTTCTGGAGAAACTCAGTTTCTCATATTTGTCATCAAGTTAACTAAATGATTATCCCTTAATATAATAATGTGAAAATTATGATAATGTATAAGGCAATTCAAGCAAACCACGCTCTTAAAATAGGAAACTATTGTATGTGTCTTGCATGAAAAGATGTAATCAACCGTTCAAAAGTTCTATCTCCAATACCAAGAACACAGTGACCAATAATAACAGGTGTTGCTTCAAAACATTCCATATTGTAAAGCCTTGAACCTAAAAGCATGTTTGACTTTAATATGCCACAGCTTTCCTAAAATGTTTCCTGATCAAGTCTCCTTCATCATTCTATAAAGTGTTGATGATAAACGCATTTGCAATGTCAAAAAAATAAAAAAAATGGACTAGGTGGACACCTTATAAACCCCTATTGTGCGGTCTCTGTAAATAATATTATACAGAGTATGGTCAAGGCTGGCAAAGATATATGAAAAGTGCCCTGAGAGGACTTCTGTGATGATTTGGCACCATATTAAAAGAGTAAATTGAAGATAATGAGAACCAACTAAATGTGGCCTATGTATCCAATAATTATAAATGTCCACATAGATTTCTTAATGTAATCAATATGTAGGTCAAAGTTTAAAAACTGTGTTAAGATAGTTTTTAATGTTTTAGCTGCTTTTCCATACCTACTTTAAGATAATCATAGTCATACATGGCGTGAATTCCAACAATCCTGATGACTGATAACACAGATTTGCACATACTAGTCTTGTTGGTATTAGCCTGTAAATCCTTAACAGCTCAGTGCCTCAGCTTTGATTATCACACACGATATCAGAGTATGGTTTCATAATTATGTCACAGTATGAATGTAAAAGGCCACAAAGGCAAACAAAGGAAATTAGGAAAAAGTGAAATGTTGGAATCCTTACTGATTAATGTGTAGCACTAGTACACAATCAGTTTTACTTAGATAAGCTTACAGTGAGCTTTTATTCATTCAACAGTGGAGAGGAGATCATATCAGCACTAAAATTAGACAACAAATCACAGTTGATATGATAAAAGACTTACATGTTAATTGGAAAACAAGGCAACAGCTTCACATTTAAAAATCAGCGTCACGTTTTGTATAAATCTAATTAATTATGTTATCTTTGTAATAGTTAAATCTAAAGACCACAAACACTTACTGTGGTAAATTGATTGATTTAGTGATTTATAAACGAATAAAACCACTAATGGAACATTCTTTCTGTAGGAAAAGCACAAATACACGCAGCATTTGATAAGGAGCGAAATTATGGAGGACTTATGTTAATGTATCTTGTATGAAATCCCCACAGACTGATTAGATCTTATTAGAAGGCTTTACATCATATTCCATTCATGTCACTGATCCACAGCATGACCAATGGACACAGTATTAAGACTGACATTAGCTAGCTCTTGTTTATCCCTTTACAGGCTATTCACAAGGAGCTATAAGGGTCACTCACAGCTAAGTCATCAGCCCACCACAAAACTCATGTTATTCTTACGCCGTGTAACCTGTTAGTGTCAAGGGATTCTCTCAATAAAGCATTGCCCAACTACTGGCGTTAGACAACTGAAGTATGTTAGGAACGACTGATTTTATCCTGGTTATCTGAAAGGTATGTCAAAACACAGGCCTGAAACCTACCGCTAAGCAGGCGCACATTAAAGCTATAGCTGCATTGTCTCATGTATCTTGTTGTTTCCTTACGTCAATGCACTCCCAGCAATCCCCCCATTTAAGACAACCACGCATTGTGGAGATACCATACCACTTTTTGAGATAACATGAAACAATTCTGGAATCTACGTGAATAGTAGAGTATGAACAATGACTAAACAACAAACCAAACACCCAAGCTCCTGATAAGGAGCAGCGGGCGAACTTAATCTAGGGCTTGCTATTCAAGTGTCGCAACCGATAAAATAATAATGAATGTCACAGTAACCTATTTCAAAACAAAACTCGAATTCTCACTATTCTGTTACCTAGTTTATAATTCTATCATCCGATATGGAAAGTAGCACACATTACCATTCACTGACATTACTGCTGCCGCAGCTCTATACCGGTTGATCTGTTAGCCTGGCGCTAACGGGATATGTTTACTGTTTATTGTTCCGACAGCAATTATTATTAAGTTTGCCAGCTGCGAAGTAGAGCACTGTTAGCTTCCGAAGCTCTAGGGAACAACCAGACAGGTTTTTTTTATAAAATACTAATATACGCAGAGTTAATAAATTAGGAACTCAACTTACCTTGCAATGATACGCAGCAGGGACATGAACTAACACAATTAGCTAATGCGAGCTAACAGTCAACCTTAACGTTGATGTTAGCTAACTTAGCCCCTCGATGTAGCAAATAACAGGTGGAGGATATCTACATGTCTTCTTTGTTGCACTTAAATATATTCCGTTGTACCTCTCTTACCACGACAACTAAAGCTAACCAGATAGAGCCAGTCGGTCACACGCTCTCGGTGCTCTGAGTAATGATAGACAAGTCTCAGCTGCGACGGCTGCCTGTCAGCCAGTTGAACAACTATCGCTAACCCAACCAGTCCAACGGGAGGTTTAGAGAGTATATGACGTATATAGAGGTAGATCGGATAGAGAGATGACACATCTTTAAAGCGTACGCCACAACCCCGGCGTTTTGATTGGGTCTCTTCTATATTATTCTATATTTATGTCACCGCAGCGCATGTATATGACGTACAGGAAAGCAGCAAACAAGCTAACTGGGGCCGGTAGCCGTTTTTGCAGTTATTTCAGGTATTCCGACTTTAATTAGCACAAACGTTTGACATGTAACAACATTTATAAATCCAAATTGTAGCAGGTATTTGCAGTGTGGGGTGTGTGTGGGGGGGTATTTGTTTCCTTATATGTTTTTGCATGATGCGTTTATCACCTTGCGTGGCTAAATGCCGCTCGTCGCGTTTTACTGACGCTCGGGTTTTGACATTGGCATGAAGCGTGATAGAAGGGTAACATTAACACGATTGATATTTTAATCTTGATCCTTGACGCTTTCCAATGCACTAATTAATGTACTTGGGGAAAAGACTACATCAGATATGCTCAGTCATTAAAACTAGTCCAACCACCATGTGATTGTTAGCTAATGCTAATAGCCTTATCATTATCAAACCCTTTAGCTTATTAGCAGCTAACCACCTAAATCTTCTGTTTCTAGCTGCCACCGAATTCGCTCCAAGTATGGCTCTCCCCCTGCTTTCAAGATCCCTTGCTGGGCTCCTTGTAGAGTCATCGTCAATAACTCATCACAGGACTTTTAGGTAAGATAATTTGATGTTACATTTTATCAGCTGGGTCGTCTGGATATTTTTGACAAACTAATTCAACACGTCAGAGAGAGTAAAATAAGTTAGGTCACTATAATAGAAGTGGCATGCTTCAACATATCTTAATTTGTTAATGTCCCCTTCCACTCAGAAATATTATTTGTTTATTGACGTTTGACCTTCATTGTGAGAAATCATGTATGAGTAAAGTCTCAACACAAGGCTGTTATAAAGTCCAACTGCTGTAGGGGAAAACTATTCTATGTGGTTGATCTTAATCTACTTGAAGATGTGGATGTTTGACATAATACTGCATGTTTCAGCCTGGTTTTATGACATCACAATTAGTTGTAAAAACAGTCCTAATCCAATATGCTACATAAACCAATAGAATACATTTAGCATCTAATAGTGAAACATTTGAGATAAAACATTCTGTTTGTATTTTTATGTTAACCTTAAACTTTGTTGGCAATTTTTCTTCCACTTTAATAATAGCGACACCTTGTCCCAGTAAAGTCACTGAATGCTTTCATAGTTTCCTTGAGTTTTTTTCAGTCCCAGTTTCAGGAAACGACTAAAAATAAATCAAAAAGGGGTAGTGTGAATATTAAAGTTGTGGACTTAAACCAAATAATATCCTTTATCATGTGCACCTTTGGCATATTATTTAATTTCCCAATTTAACATTAGAGCACACGTTATTCACTGTTTACTGTGTGGAGCAGCCTGGGCATTAAACTGTATATGATCACCACAAACAGTCCCTAAATTGGCATAAGATACTTGTCCAAAGTTATTCCACTTTTAAACTTGAAAATAATTTATTGCAAGACTGCTGACTGAGGGGTCTGTCAAGGAAAGATGTAATCATCAACTAATATACTTTGTCTCCTCAGTGTATCTGCTGTTGCAGCAGCCATTCAAAAGATGACTAGAGTGCGTGTTGTGGACAACAGCTCTCTTGGAAATACACCATATCACCGTGCCCCAAGAGTGATCCATGTCTACACCAAGAATGGTATAGGAAAAGTCGGTGACAAAGTGTTGCTTGCCATCAAAGGACAGAAGAAGAAAGCGCTCATCGTTGGACACAAAATGCCAGGAGATCGCATGACTCCACGCTTTGATTCTAACAATGTTGTTCTTATTGAGGACAATGGGAACCCCACAGGAACAAGGATTAAGGTCCCTATACCCACACATCTACGTAAACATGAGGGAGAATACTCCAAGGTCCTGGCAATTGCTAGTGCATTTGTTTAGTAACAGCTTTAATCAGGTGTTATTTTTGATATATAATGTACATTTCACATGTTATGCTTGTATATGTTTTTGTCTTCAGTAAACTATTAAAAAAAAAGCATACTCTCCTCAAAATGATTTAGATGTTGTTAATTAACGTGATAGACTCAAGTCTTGTCAACAGGTTTGACATTTTACTAAGTTTACAATAAATATAACCTTTACCATAAAGGTATAGGAGAGTTTGAGCAGCCAATGTGGGTCAAATTCATGTTATGAACAAACTGAGAAAACATTTACCATGAGGGAAATATTTATTGAAGGCACAACATACATTCACAACGTAAAATACATGACTAGCATATTTTCAATCGCTGTCTATAACACCATGGTGTGTGTATAAGGCATATATTATCATGTGATCCCCGTGAATTGAAATTCACACTGTCAGGCAACTTCAGTAGCATCATCCTTCAACTAAATTGTCAGTGCAAAATTAAAAAACAATGTACAACTAAACAAAGGTAAGCTGCCGTGCTTAAACTTCAATACAAAACAAATACTTAAGCTAAACTTTAGAATCATGCCAGAAAAAAACCATTGACATTATATTAGGTCTGTACTGCCATCTACAGGTCTGCAGGTGCAACAATGAAACTGAGGTGATCATTTCTCCTTCAAAATCTTTCTGTTAAACAATCAGGGCAAAATGATCATGAGAAACTATAAATCTTTCCAGAAACAAAATTCTTCAGTTTTGTTGTGTGAATGTTTTTTAGTGAGATTTTGAGCAGTGAATTTATTGTTAGTACATTCATACAGACAGTGAAACTAAAATATAATCCAAAATCTTGCAACAATGCACATCACAGCTAATGATTGTTGTCATGCAGGGAATCATACTACAGATGATAGATCCAGGTGGCACAGTGATTGCTTCATACAGCAGGTTTGCATAGATTCCTAATTCAGCCGGGAGACACAACACTTCATAGGACTTTGGTTTCCTATTGTAGTAAATCCCCCTGCCTTTTTTGGTCTTGTGGAAGGCGGGGCTTAGCCTCCACCTACCAGGCCACACCCGATCCAATTTAAGGCCTGTAATCAGCAGTGCTCAGACCAAAAAAGGCAGGGGGATTTACTACACCAATTAAAAAGCTATTTTACTACTTTACATACGCTGAGGTGGGATGTGTTAAAGGATTGATGGGTTGCTAAGGCTGAGGGGTCTTCATTTCTCCAGGTTTATGGCAATCTGCAGCCACTGTACCTTTGCTGCTCCAGAGAAGATGGTCCTTTCAACCACACATTGTCAGGTAAAGCCACTGGCAACAGGAGAGAAATGTTAGATGAATAGTAAAGACTATAAAGAAAATCACAATATATTTTGTCCACAGAACTTACCTCTGTTACATTCATCTCAGCCTGTCCTGATCCATCCTTGTCGAAGTGATGGAAAGACCCTGTTGATGTTTTTACAATAATGAATAGTCGGCACACATGTACTGTAGTATACATTTACAATATAACAATTTACAATAATACTCACTGAACATAGCTTCCAGCTTGACCAAGCAGCAGATGAAGTTGTCAAAGTCGACCATCTCGTTCTCCGCATACCGGGCTACCAGAATCTGGTTCAGTTTGTTATTCAGTTTGAAACCTACACAGCGATAATAAAAATAAGGGTTACACTTCTCCTCTGTGGGTGTGTGTACAGTAAATAATGGTGGGAATGATCATCAAGAGCACTATACCTGCTCCCTCTACAGCAAGACGTATCTCATATGAGCTCATGGCCCCGGACTTGTCCAGGTCAAAATCTCTGAAAATGACCTGGAGGATGGAAACAGAAAGATAAATACAGAGAATCTAAGTGTGAACACTGTTCCTTTAAAATTGTGTTTATTTTTTTCGTTCTTACAAGCCACTTTCGGATCTTGTTCCAGAGGATCTGAAACTCCACCAGCCCTAAACGGGCACTACCGTCTTTCTGTTAAACACATGGTCAAGGGGTGAAACCACACACAAAACAATCACTAGCATCCTAAGTGCACAATTAATTTAGTTTCAAATAAAATAAAGATTATTATGACTTTGAATTCATTCCAGATAAATCAAAAGGATACGTCCATCAGGTTGACCATGCTCCTGCATGATTCCATACTGAAGCCATCAGTCTTCAGATCTTTGTCTGAAAGAAAAGACATCTGAAACAGTCTGTTTTGCAAAGACAGCTTCACAGACACTTGTAAAACAGGCAGTCCAGGAAATGAATGGTGTGCACTCTACAGCGGAATCTAATAATGTAGTGGGACATTTGTTACCAACATGTGCACTTTCCAGTAGCTATGATTTGTTGATAATGAACTCACGCCGGGTAACGACTCTGTTGAGAATGGTCCGAAGCTCGTGGACAGAAATCTCCATGTCCTGAAAAATCACAGAGGACAGGATGTAAAAGACATCTGTCTTCACCATAACAAGGCTGATACCAATGGGGATGTTTTAAGTATTAGAAATTATCTAAAAATGACCACCAAAGATACAAATGCAAACAAAGACGCAAAACAGTAAGGGAGATCTGCTCAGAACTTGCCTCTCCTGCCAGCTGTGCGAACATGGACTTAAAAGAGTCATCAATGTCGTCTTCAGTTACTTCTTCCTGTAGGAAACCACAATATAAAAAGGCATTTGTTTAATTTCAGAATCCTTGTCATTTCCTGCTATTAATAAAGTATAGTATGCAACATCTATTTTATTCATGTCTCAGTTTTACGTACTTCCTCCCCAAAATCTGCAGAGATTTCATCATCCAGTTCTCTGTAATAAAAACAAATTAGCATGATATTTACATTTCAAATACATAAGCTGGATTTAAAATGATGTAAAAGACTCTTACTCTGTTTCCGATTGCTTCTCAGTGAAGACTCTGAGGACAAAGTCCGCCTCCTGACTAGCCTCAAAGGTGGAGGGGACGATGAGGTATTCCCCTGGGGGCAGACGCAGCCGTGTGCTCACCTCTCGCAGGTTAATGAATGTCTCGGAGCGCGCACACGATGAATGAGTCAGGAAGAAGTCCTTCTTCAGATGGACATTCGTGCAGCCTCTGTACTGAGGGCCACAGGGAACACACATGGGTTGAAATGCATGTGCATGTTTTTAGGTCAATTTCATTGAACTCAGAAATAGTTTACAATACTGTCAATCTTTTCAAACATCTGATTTATATTTAGTTTTACTTTGGACTACATTTAATGCAATGTACTCTCATATGAGAAGTAATTATACTAAAGAGGATTGAAAAATAGCTTGAAATAGGTCAATCATTGGTGAAACTTCTCAATATTATTTGTTCTTAAATATGTGGATTGATTTATAAATGGTCTGCATGGATTCATATCTTAATCAAAGAACGTTTTTTTTAAACTAAAATGTGATCAGCAGTAGTGTAAAATATACATGCAAAATAGGCGGTAGTAATAAATGCTCTGCTTACCTCTTCTGGAATCTGCAGGAAAAAAGACAAAGAAAGAAATATATAAATGACACGAACAAAATGTAACCTGACACAAAACTCAAGCATAAGAATAAACCATGAGAGAGAAAAAGGGACAAAACAGATTTGTACCTCATAAAGAGCAAAGCCAATGGTGTGCGTGTCCTGACCCTGGCGGCGGTATTTGCGGCGGTCCTTCTGCATGAGAGCAACCAAAAAGCTGCACGCCACCTCATCGTCCTCTGGGTCATCATCCTCCTCCAGCAAGGTGATCTTGTACTGAGGGTTGATCCAGAACGTGTCTACACAGAGGGTGCATTTGTGTTAGCATGTTTCCTTGTCCACTGTATGTCAGTGTGTAGACTTTAAAGGTCCCCTATTAAACTCTTTTTCAACAATATATTATAGGTCTCAGACATATACTAAACATGTCTCTGAAGTGTTTGGCTGAAATACCAAACAGATTGCATGTCATACAACCCTCTGTTTCAAACGTGTTGATTCCGGGTCTGTAGCTTTAAATACTATTGAGCTGCCACTCCTCAAACCACTCTGGGAAATGTTTGCTTTGAGAATAGTGCTCTAGGAGGAGAATCGGGTGATAAGGTGGGCGGATGTTACCTTGGTTAGTTATTGACTAATGGTTGCACCCAAAAAAAAAAAATTTCACAGCACAAAGTGTTCGAAATCTGATCAGCTAATCTTTTTAGGTTTTTATATAGATGGGTCAGGATAAAAGGAGAGAGGATCTTTTTTCCTGAAACTTTCCAAATCTCTTAACACAGAGAGGACACATATTTATGAATAAAATACATGAAAAAGTAGATTTTGCATAATAGGTGACCTTTAAATAAATATAATTTTTTTCTGAGTTACAGTGACTCACTGGGATTGTTCCTGCAGCCTCCGGCGGTGCTGCCTCTCCTCCACGCGCCGTAAAACTTTGTGGTGTTCCAGTGGCTGAGACCGTCCTCACTCAGAGCGTCAGCAGTCAAGTTACAGATCTCTAGCCGAGAAAACTGCCTCTTGAACTCATTGAAGGACATCCTGGAAGATTACAAATACATGCTTAGGGTTAGAACCTAAATATTACTTTTATAAAAGAACAGTTCTGAGAAATGTGCTCAATAGCTTTCTTGCCACTAATATGAGGAATTTTATCCCACTTTCTTGTCTGTAAGGTAAATATATAAAAAAGGACCTTACTTATTAGTTAAATATGTTATATATCAATTGATAAAAACTGAACCCACATGTATTTGTATTTCTTTTTTTCCCCTGTAACTCACCACAAGAAAGTGAATAAGTGTATTCCCGATAACTAGTTCTTTAAAATACATATAGTACATATAATACAATAGCACCTGACACATCTTACCAAAACTCCCCATCTTCCATCTTAAGATGCAGGTCCTCTCGTTCAGAAGGGTCAATCTCATCCCATTCAGGGGAACTACACACAACAAGACAAACAGACCAGAATACACACTCAGTAAGAGATATCATGCTCATAAAAGCACAACCAAACAAAACTGAGGATGCAAAAATGTTTAGTACACAGAGACATTGGCACACTCACTTGTCACTCCAGGCACCAGTCCACTCCACCTGTCCCCAAGGGTTACGTATCCGGATTAGGCGCTCCATGTTGCCTTTGTAATTAACCTACATAACACAGGGAGATTGCTCAATTATAAACATTAAGTCATTTGCAGTGTTGACCAATTAAAGACCACATAGTCATGCACGGACAGACCTCCTTCAGTCCGGTGAGTGAGTAGGCATGGCCCTTCACAAGCTTCTTGAATGTAACAGCCTCCATGTCGAAGGCACTGGTGATCTGTATATGAAAAACATAATTTCTGCATCCGAGTATGAATGGTCTGGCACAGAAATAACTAGAAGAGCTTCTAATGTTATTAGCTTCCTCAGAATAGTGCAACATTGATCTGCGTGTCTTGGTGGTGTGCCAGCGTGTTCAGCACTTACATCGATGGAGCAGCCCAGCAGAGAGCCTCTCTCCAGGGCCTTAGCGATGATC